ATCAACGTTTATTAAGTTAATTTCTTTTACTTCTTTTACTGATTAATCTTTTTTTTCTTTTTATTCCTTTTTATTAGTGTCGTTGATAGTCGTCTTCGTCGATGTCATTATTGGTGTCTTGTCGTTCTTGTCGTTTGTCAGAGTCACCGTTTGTCAACGTTTCGCTTGTTGAAGTCGTTTTTTGTCGACGTTTTGCTTGTTGGTGTCGTCGTTTTCTGGTGTCGACATTTATTGGTGCTTCGCTTTTATTACTGTCGTGTTTGTGATTTCAATTTCTCTTGTATTTGTTGTTATTTGTGCCGTTGTTGGCGTCTTCGCTGTCACTTTTTGGTGTCGTCGTTTTCTGGTGTCGACATTAATCATTGGTGTTTCACTTTTATTACTGTCGCGTTTGCTGATTTGATTTCTTTTGTTTATTGTTTTAAGTTAGAAGGCATTGTCGTTTAGTCATCGTCGTTTGATGGTAGTTTCGCTTTTGCCGTCGTTACCATCTGTTGACGTCGTTTTCTGGTGTCGACGTTAATCATTGGTGTTTCGCTTTTATTACTGTCGCGTTTGCTGATTTTGATTTTTCTTGTGTTTGTTAGTTAGTGTTTAGGTTATAGACGTTGTCGTCCAGTCGTCGTCGTTTGATGGCGGTCATTTGTGCCATTATCGTTGCTGGTGTCTTCACCTTTGCTGACATTATCGTTTGTTAGTATCTTCAATTGTCTTGTCGATGTTTGTTAGTGTTTAGTGGTTAGGTTAGAGATTAGGATTAGCAATGATATTAGAGTTAGGATAAAATTGAATAGGCGCCAAACTTCGATGAATTAGATTAAGAGAAAGGAAAATAAAGAAAAAATTAAACGATGTAAAAATTTTGTCTATATCAGAGACCACTTGTTGATTTCTTTTTATAATATAATAAAGATATATTAGTAATACGATTTAAGCATATGATAATAATTATTACTATAAATATTTTTATTTTTATTTTTATTTTTATTTAAACTTCTTTAATCTTAAGTCTT